ATTAATTTTTATTAATTTTAATTTTAAATTGTTTTGCATTATATGGCCGTTTGCTGTTTTATGGGTTAACCCCATTTGCCTTTCAAACTTTCAAAACGATAAGCGATATAGTTAAGTCCATATTCTTTTTATAACACTTCATGAACGTGAAAGTATTGGCCTGTGTTTCAGGGAATCAGAAACACAACGTATTTATATTACTGTACAAAACGTTCAATTCAATCCGTACCGAATCCACTTTCGTACAGTACCGAATACCGTACACTTTGGTACTGCACCCCACGTTCCCTGAATTCGGCGCGGTCCGATTTCCAAGTGACGCTGGGGAATCTCCCTATAGGGACCAAAATCTCTTATCAAACAGATTTGCGCGATCTATAAGACTGTTTCGTTTGCATATGCAGTACTATATATGACGTGGTTCACATAATATTATTACGTGACTCACTTCGGCGGGAGTCTCGTCTTCAATCAAACCCACAAGGTGGTCTCCTTTGTAAGAAAAAAAAAATAATCCCAATAATCCCCACATCACCTCAAGCCATAAAACGAGCGTTGCGGTATATGATCAGAACATTATATAGACCTACTGAGAATCGGACTAATATCAACCCCTGGACAGAACTTGGCTTAACGTGAATGATTCCATGAAGTTTGCGAGCGCATAGAGATGTGCATAGTCGATCCATGGGCACAGTAGGACTATTGAGAAATTGAGGACGAATTTATGAACTTTCAAAATTCCAATGAATCGCAAATTGTGCGCAAAACTCTTAATCTAGGCCTATGTCCCATTCGGATTATATTCTAATCATTGGACATGAATGCAATATACTAGGTCTGTTCAAATAGTTTTACTGTTTTGGAAAAAAATCCATTGTTTAATTGCGCACAGGATATTTTACTCCATCGTAAAATAAATAGGCCTAGGTCTATTTACCTGCAATTGTTTGAAAATAAAAAGTTTTGCTCGAAGATACTTGTGAGTCATATGTTCTCACTGCATAGCACACTAGCGCTTTATAGATACAAATTGAACTTTCCATGGAAAGTTTTGCCACGAAAAGGTTCTAGAACAGGTCTGCGTAAATTGTGGAGTGCAAAGTGCATTAAAAAGCTGGGGCAGATGCAAGGGGGTGGGGGTTGCAGACGGTCGCACCCTTGGTAGGGTTTACTTGGAAAATTTTTATGGCTTATTATGGTCCAAAATGTGCTTTTAGACCAAAATATTTGGGATTGGCAATCAAAACATCCTTATTTGGATAGGAAAATTATTATTTCTAATAATTTTTGATCCAACGACCTAGTCGTTCGTCGGTCTGTAGAGTGGGGGCAAAGGCCTGTCCGACAGGGTAAAATATCCCCCCCCCTGGTACCACCACGGCCCACTGCACTTTCTCCGCCTGCCCCAGCGCCACTGTCTGTACTGCTTCTGTGTTATTATGCTTCCAGACAGCTGTACTGTATTATGGAGGTATCAAATTTACTAATATGAAATACTAAGATCTGAATGTGCTTATCAATATCTTATTAGAATCTCATATGTTCTACACAAGTTGCTCTGTTGGACAGTTTATTTCCAGTTGAACATACCACTCAAAATTAATTTCATTCCAAATTACTCACATTTCACAGGTACATGTATAAATTTGACACCACAAAATTTGTTGTAACTTAAGTTGATTTTAATATGGAGGAATTTGTTTGAGTTCTCCTAGAGGGCGTTGTCACAATTACTGGTAACTATGCATTTATAATAAACATTTTTCTTTCAGTTCCAAAGAAATTTCAAACAAATTCTCCATAACAATAAAAAAAAATCTCGTGGCAAATACCGTACCACATTTCCTGAGTATTTAAAACCCCAAACAGCAGTAAAGATTGTCAGTCTTAAATGACTATAACATTTCAGTAGAACAGCAATCATAACAATAGGCCATAATAGGCAAAAAATAGTTTTAAAATAATGTTTGAAAAGTTCGATATTAGAAAATACTTTCAAATAAGATTTTCCAGGAGTTGCCAGGTGACAGGAGAATTAAAAACGTCTGATCCTCTGTTTTATATTTGTAGCATAAATTGTTTGTGCTATCGGTGACATTGGTTATGTTTTGTTGGACAAAATACAATACTGTACCGGAAAGGTTACTCAAATTGTTGTCAACAACTATTGTCCAAACTACACAGACTCTACTACTTGTCGCACAATTAAAAATAAAATGGCTATATTATCAAATAAAACACTATGGAACATTTAATTAAGTTTCACAAAATTAATTTCTTTTATTAATTCTTACTCATTACAGAAAGCCTTTTTTCTGTATGTTGATATCCACAAATCAGCAAAAAAACACAAACTTAGGAGTAAACTATACAGTTGAGTTCATTGCCAAATACGTTCATAACATTCGTACGAAAAACAGTTACTGAAAAATCTAATCCTCTTAAAAATATGAAAGAAAAACAACTTTAGAAAACATGTCTAAATATCAAGAACATCCATGCATTATATCAGACTGGACCTGAAGACTCACTCAGTACCACTACCCAGAATGAACATTGTAGGCAAATATCATTTACCTACAAAAAGGAACCGTCTACAGATCGAAACAATACAATACTACTCTACAAACCATTGTGAACTGCGATAATACCATACAGTAGGACATGCCAGATGGGACAAATTAATCAGCAAACTAATGTAGATTTTGTCGTCGTTTTTTTTCAGAAGTAGGTTGTGAAAAGCAACAAGCTTATTAAGAACTTAGCGAAAACATACATATTGAGCTATTACACACCCAAAAAAAACAAAATAAGCAATAACAATTTAAATTTCAACGTGCATGATTAACACAAAACTAAATTTTTGAGCTAAATAAACATTTCGCACATGGGTTAAACTTTTATACATGTTAATAAATCAGGGCTTATAAATATTAAGTGAATTCTACATTTGGTACAGAATCAAATGTGTGCAATGGGCAAAACTAAACTTTGGAGGTTTAAAAACTAGATACAATACATTACACAATGCAAAATACAAAGGTGAGAAATATACACATAATTTGATACAACTATCAAAATTCATCATAAATGTTTACGCCAAATATTCCCTAGAAAACAACATATAGAACATAATTATCATATCTCTATACTCCAGAGGGCTCACTTCCAAACTGTTAGCCTCACATGGAAAAAAAAAAAAATCTGCTTTGAAAAGATACAGTAATGAATATTCATATTCTGTAACACATCTAAAGACCAAAATTCAGACATAACACCTTATCTAGCACAAGCCTTTCAATAACAAGTTAGAAAAAAGATAACCTCAATTTTCAATTATTGAAATATGCAAGTCCTGGTCCTCATCTTCAAACGTTCATGCTTGAAACCATACAAAAACAAAAACATCCATACTGAACTCCAAAACATCCATCTTGCAGCAACATCTTAGCTACAACTACAATGTGCTTCAAAGATATTTCCCCCAAACAATGTATGCACCAATAGAGGGGAAAACCTAATTTTTTTCACAGCTTTCAAGACTGTTACTGGCCACAGAGATTAATGTTCAGCATCTTTCTTTTCATGTAAGATGCAAGCAATTAATGCTACAATGTAACACATACACAGATGTTGGTTTGTGGAGTATTAATCTTTACTAAAAAATCCACCAAAAGACAAATTCCTTGAATTTCAACATGAATCATTTACAGCTCCCAGTCTAAACATATACACATTATCTCAACACCTTTCGCAACATTCTTATGTTATCTTTGTAACATATGCATACATTTCTTAACACATAATATGGAGCAAGTAAGCAACAGTGCTGTTCCAAAGTTGCCAAGTGCCGAAGATGCAGTTACTAGATGTCCGCTTAGGACAGGATTTTTTCAGAGATGTAGTTATCCAAACGAAGACATCAGAAATGGTTCTGTGGAAGGTTTGGAGGGCTGGTTAAGTATCATCTTTCATCTTCACCAGCTTGTTCTGAAATGACAAAATCCATATAAGGAGTTACAGTTAGGTAATACGATATAGTATATAAATATGGTATTCACTAAAGTGTGAGATGCACCTTTCTTAATTCTCTCATTTCAATTCAACAGTTTTAATTCTGCTTTTAAATGATTGGTCTGTTTTTAATTACTTTAAGTTACACTTTACTGAAAATATTGTAAATGGATAGAGGTTTTCACCACATGATTCTTGAGAATGAGCAAATAGATTGAAATGTTAAATCTTCAAAATGTCTGCCTCTTTTCCGAGTTACTGTGCTTTGCTTCACTTGAATTATATTAGTTTGCTGTAAGTATATGAAGGATAAGGGTACTTTGGTCCTAATCACTCAAGTGAAAAATCTTATTGCTAGTAGGATATTCCTGGTGGTGAATTGGGGGATTAAACCAGGTGATAATCCCTTACATTTTCCGAAAGGGTGTAGCGTGTTCTTTAATGTGCACTTGAGTCATATTGCACACGGGGGCCAACGGCTTAAAAGGTTAAAAGGTTTAGCAGAAAAACAGTTTGCTGTCGTAGCATGTATTTCAGCCCTCCAGCTGCGATGGAAAATGAACCAGAGACCAAAGTGGATCTCCATGGTTCAGCACACACATAGTAACTACCACCAGTTAAGCCAACTGATCTATGGTGGTTTGAACTTAATTGACCTTTCTGGAGTGTCAATCCAACTTAACAACTGCGCAATCAGAACAGTTGCCAGGAATAAGTGCATGTCCAACTGTTGTACCACAAAAACATGCGTTTATGCGTACAATTATGCTATTGTTTTGTGGGGCCTTCGCAACAATATTCAAGAGGCTTATACCCAATGAAATGTGGTATATTTATATGAAAAAAAACACCCTTGTTTTACAGCAAATTTCTGTACAAAGCTGTCTGGATGTTTAAATACGGTGTGGTGTAAAATAAACAAGAGAATTCTCAGTGTTGTCATACCTTGTGTTTTGGACACAGCATGGAGTAATTTTCTTCTCGTAAAAGACAATCTGGAAAATTAGTAAAAAATGCAAATCAAAAATGTTTTCATAAACAGGTTTCAGTATTATCGTACAGTATGAATAATGGTTTAAAAGTTGATTATGACGTCAATAATCAAGCATTTACGATATGTCAAATTTCAAGTAATCAAAGGTGCAGTTAGCCCCTTAAAGTTCATTCCAAAGCGAAAAAGCGTAGAATGAGAAAATGTGTTAAATTCATAGGTGCAATTTGTAGGGACAGCATTGAAGTGCAATACTTCAGTGCAGATCGGTGAGATGGTTCACGAAATCATTTTTTCCTGTATGTTTAGCTTTTTTTACATGGCAGGAGATCACCGTGATGATCGCATTTATCCGTTTATATAGGTGTTAAGTGGCTGTGTAAACAGGTTCTGTAACGCCGCATAGAGGATTAGTGACCGCGATGATCTACCAGTTACCTCTGCATCGCAGCGGTGTAAACATAGACCATGCGCGCATTCCCATCAGGTCAGTTTTAATCACATGACTTGTTGTTAAACAAATAATTTTCTTATCGTGTAGATGCGCGACTGGAAATCATCGGTGTTATACCTATCTGATAGCAAACGACTGTGTAAACAAGGTACAGTTTGGTAAATTTAAAGGAACAAGTAAACTAAAATTAATGTTATAATATAATAATTGATATGTATATTTGCAGTTACAAAAATTGGCCAACAAAAATATTAATTTAGTGATGTTAAAACCAGTGACTTATGAACTATTAAATTTTAAAAAATACCTATCATGAAAAGAAATTATAATACAGCTAGTCTTTGTGTGACTTGTAAATGCTTAGTATTTTGTGATGGGTTCGTTTTTAATAGTAATTAATCTGCAGTTCAGTGCTTGTGCTGATAAAGATTGAGATTCTACACTTTAAATTCATGTTTGCTGTCTGTAAAGATAACAACACATTTGCTTCTGACCTATTTTATAGAATCATGTTCCTAGTCTACGAAGCAGATGTTATCTGTCAGACATTTCAAGAGCCGTCTGAGAAAACATCTCTTTGACTACTTATACACCCTCCAGTGGTTTCAGTCTCGCAACTGTTACACTACTGTTGTCTTAAATTTCATAGATTTTGAATGTTGTTACAGATCACTCTTTAGAGCTGTTTGTATGAGCAATTAGCAAATGTGCATATTATAATTGTTGTTGTTATTAATTATAGTACACTTTATAGACCATTATTAACATATAGTAGACCAGATGAAGATAATTAGAGTGCACTGGAGACAATCCCCTACTCTTTTCCGAAGAGTGTACAGCGGTCTTTAACATGTACGTTGGCCATTTTACACACTTGACCAATGGCCTAACGTCTCATCCGAAAGACGGTGCGATTTTGTTGAAATTGTGTTTAAGCCATCCAGCTCAAATACAAAACAAAGAAAGTGAGGACCAAGAAATCTCCACACAGTCATATTACACCGGGTAGCTCAGACATTAATAGACACATAGGGAAGACTGTTTCGGTGTGCTATTAAAAATCTAAGTGCTATTAAAAATCTAAATACATTACATTACATTTTCATATACAGAACTGGTACTAAAGCTTACCTGCTTTTTTGGAACATATGAAGTGAGACGTCCATGAACAGGCCTTGCTGAAGCACCCTAGTGTAGCTCCCATCTGTTTGCAATGAGTACACGACTACAAGATACGATAAGCAAAATTCATTATTTTATTTACAACTATTCATATTGAGGATAAAACAGTATAAACTTGCCTAAGTCAACCTCGTCTAACTTGAATATTTTCTTATTTTACATGCCAAATTGTTGTGTTTTCCATTAATTAACGATCTGTAAAGTCAGATTTTATCTAAGTTGAACAATTTTTCAATGCCATTTTGGATTTGACTTCGGCAAGTTCAACCACGGTATAAAGTTTGAATAAACTATAAACATCCATATTCACAGAACTTGTGTGTTAAATCATTTTTATTTGACAGTACTTCACAAATTCTGATTTAATCCGATGGATTTGAAGCTCTAGGGGAGAAATGTTTAAATACTTCTGAAAGTATCTTTCCCAGAATAAAATAAAATAATTTTATAGTGACATTAGTGGTAATTTAAATGTGCTTGATATGTTTTCTAAAAATAAATATTGACCTTATCAGTACAGAATATCAAAGGTTATGTCTAAATGTATATAATAAAGGTTAAATATGTCAATCAATTAGTAAGTTGATTAATTAATTAATTCATTCATTAATCTCTTAACCAGCAGGATGAAGTTACACTATGTTTATACAGTACATTTTTGTTCAAGTGGCATGGAAGGACAGAAAAGGCTCAAAATTAATCTTCATGCCATTTTTAATTAAAATCATGAAAGTGTGTTGTATTGCTATAAGCTGTCTTAAGCTGGTTTTAATTAAAGTTAAGATTGGCTATTCATATACAATTTTGTAGACCATTGCCATACTGTGTGTGGTAGTGTGGTGTTTCAGTTGATGGCTATATTTTAAAAGTCTGCAGAGTGGTTTATGAACCTATCAATGGCTTCCGTCCCCGGCAAGTACTTTTCATCAATTGTATATTAATAATAACAATAATAATAATATTAAATAATAATACATTGCATCTCTAAGAAAAATGTTCACACATGTTAAACAAAAAAAAAAAAAAAAAAAAAAAACAGAATTTGATTAAATATGGAATTTAGCATTCCTATGAGCATGTGTTTTATTATAATGGCAAAAAGAATTTGTGATTTCCATTGAATTACTTTTATCAGTATATTTTTTATTTGAGACATAATTTTTTTTTTAAAATAATAATTGGAGTGGTGTTACTGTATTGATGCAGGCTTATGTAAATACTGCAGCAAAATATACTGGTTGAAGAAGTTAATGCAGAGAAATGATTACTTATGCTGATTTTAAGTACAAGTATTTGAACTTGAAGATAGCAATCTGTTTGCATACTGTAGTAGGGAGCTTTCGATTTGTTCGACAACGCGACGCTAGAACAGAATCACTCATGCGTGACCGTCCTACCGGGCGTCCTACGTTCTGTGTCCTCATCCAGATGGTGAACGGACGATAATGAGTGTCTGGATAGAAGCAGAATAGAAAAGAGTAGATTAGGCCAAATTGCGCCCTAGATTTCACATGACGAGAACTTAATGTTCTCGCATGCGCAGATAACTTTTAGCGACGTCATTACGCTCAACGTCATGACGCGCAGATCTGACTTTTAGTGACGTCATTACGGTCTACGTCCTACCGTCGTCATGCAATCGAAAGCTTCAGACTCTGCGGTATTATATCTTTTATTTTATTTTATTTTAACTCCACACGAACAGCAAGTACAAACCCGCCACTACAGGATGGATAAACAAAAACGGACACAAATAATAATTACCCATGCCTAACTTCAAGAATACAATAAAATTAAGTTTCTTTTTAAATTCAGTATGAATCAATGAAAATACCAATACAGTAAACTATTAAATTATCTGAATATTTACTTAATCTACAAATAAATGCTTTCAAACAGTGTTGACTCAACTGCAAGGTACAAAGAATAAATTAATTTGTCTCAGACAATGTTTATAAACACATAAATTAAGTGGTGGCAATCAAAACGATGATTAACCACTTTATAAAAGAAACTTAAATCATTCATATTTCTATGAAGAATTGGGGAAAGTAAATTACATATTATAATTATTGTCATTATATAAACAAACCTTATGTGTGTGGAATTTATCAATATAGAACCTTTGCAATTGAATTAAAATCAATAACCGGACGGATGAAAGAGTTAAAAAGTGATACTTTTGTAGTAAAGGTTTTAAAGATTTGAGTAAAAAAAGCAGGAAAGAATTTTTGAGCAATTTCAGTAAGGACCATGCTCGTAAAACATACGCCATTTGAGCATAATATCATAACATTTACACATACTATTATAATCAATCAATACTGTAATTACAGTATATTCTATTATATAAACATCATTAATAATATTGACAAACAATAAAATTAAATATTTGATTTACTTGCTTGCATTAAATTGAATATTATTAGAGCTCATGTAGTTGAAAACAAGTTAACAATCAAGACAGTTTAGGTAAAAATGATCAAATTTCAATTGATTTATGCCTTATAAACAAAAGCAATGATTTATGGTCAGCCTCATCCTTTTTCAGGCAGCCTAGATTTTAAAATTCTTAACATTTTTTTGATGCAAGTTAAGTTTGTACATCATAATTGATTATTTTCTGCTGATACGATAGTCTAGCGCTCCAATCCACACATTCAACAAAGCACTTAAGTGTCTAAAAATGTCTTTTTGAAAAAGTGCCAAATTCCTTCCCTTATTCAGAAAGCTTCGATAACCAACTATTGCGTATTTTTATATTTTTTGACAAAAAAATGTTGATTGCACATATTCATGATGTGCCTACCTGTATATATGGTCACGATGTGATGTCATCATGACCATATTTAGGCACGTCACATGTTTTTGTCAAATAAAATTTCATAGGCTGAACAGGGCATTAGAGTAGTTTACAGATGACTCAACATAAATTATTTTATTTAAACATCAAATGCATTTAATTCATAGCAGATACACTCCAAACTACTTTCCCCATACAGTACTGAACATTGACTGCTGTGTTTTAATTGGAGAGGTCATATGACTTCAGTCACCAATTGTGTCTATCTAGAATCCATCAGCTCAGGTTCTGTTTAAGGTTAAAGGTCTTTACAACTTAATGTTATCTTGCGGAATTTTGTCAGCTACTGTAGACCTATGCCAATCCAAGTTCCACCAATTACTAATACTATCTCAAAAAATTTCACTTTTTACAATTAAATTTAAAACAATGGAACAATTGACAAGAATGATTGTTTTGAATAACTATCTTTAGACAATCAAAAAAAAAAAGATGATAGCGAATTCAGCAAGAGCTTCTTCAAAGGAAAAGAAGAAAACCACTAAACCAGTCATTTGGACAGCAATTAGTGAATACAAAAACTGTAGTAATGTATGTAATTAAGTTACATCCACATAATTAGTAATCATCTGAATTGCATACTTGGACAGTAGGCGTAGTGTTTCTACATGGAAAACATAGTTTCACAAACTTGGTTTAAACACACAATGTACAGCAGTAAGAACTCCCACAATTACAATGACCGCTCCCTTAAAGGTACAGAAAACAAATTTTTATTTTTGTCACGAATGTCCTACAATTCTACATAGTAAAAGCATTTCATGTACTGTAATGATGCAGAAAAATCCTGCTTTCATAAGCCCACCTCCTAGATTTTGGCAAAATGCTCAACTTGTGTATAAGCCAACACTCTTTATTTGGAACTACAAACTGCTTCACAAGATCTCCTATAAAAATGTTAATAGTGAAGTGTGACTCACCGTTTGGCATGCTGCTCTCACGGTCTCGTGCAATCCGTAGATCATCCCACCGACAAGGTATACTCCCTGCGCCCACACCGCGCACTCCTCATGTACCCAAATCTCATCAAGGTGGCAGGATGTCTCGGTGTCCGTTGAGCTGCTTCTTTTACAACTTGGTGTTGATGAACTTTTCGTTGCCGATTTCAAATTTTTAGTAGTTTTTCCTTTTGACGAACTCCTGGATTTTGGAGTGTTTTTATTTGCGGTTACTTGATCCGCATTACATTCTATCTCTTTATCAATTGAACTTCGTCTACGCTGAGAGTTATTTTTAGAATTGGATGTTTTTGAATTTGATTTTAAAGTCTTTCCTTTTGATGTTTGCTTTGTCGATTGTGGAGTAACTTGCTCATCTTGTGTGCAACGCTTTGGTGGTTTAAATCCTTCAGGATAATAGGGACCATAAAGATCTCCTAAGCCGTTCACATTTGACGGTTTGCCGCAAAGCGCACATAACCACGGACGTCCAGTTTCACAATACGTAGAGCCAACAGCCGCAGAGGACGACGGCCTATGGACTATTTTTGATGAAACAATGCTTTTACTTTTCTTTGTTATTGTTGCATCAACATTAGCATTTGGTTGATTAACAATATGCGAGGAAACAGGATTTTCAGGCGCTCCGACAATGCGTAATACCGGCCCAACTGGTTTTGAGATTGAACCCGTTGGTTGTAACATATTTGCTAATTTAGTGTTCATTACAGACTGCTTCACAGCCATTTTTTTAGATGTAGCAAGAAAATCTTTGTCTAAGCAATCGCTCTCAAGCAACGCTTTTTCTTTCTTGGTAAGCCGTTTCTTTTTATTCTTACTTCCAAACGGTCGTCCACGTTTTTTGTGAGACGGTACCGTATGGTCACTTTCGCAAGTATCTGGACCATCAATCCCAGTTAACTGTCGTTTCAATGAGGGCGTTATCATTGGATTTTTTACTTCCTGAATTATGGTTTTATTCTCTTCCAATCTGATTTCACATTCAACAATCTCATTATCTTTCTTTTCCTTAATGTGTTCTTCCTTTTTTGTCTCCACTTTAATAATGGAAACCTCTTTATCCTTACATTTCTTTTCTGTTATTTTCTCAGATTCATTGTTTTCACGCTTCTCTTCCACTTTAGCGTCACTTTTCATTTTATCATTCTTTTTTTCTCCCTCAATGACATTATCTCTTGTTTGTGCAGTTTTCATAATTTCGTCAAAATCACTTTTAGAATCTTTAGGACCGTCCACATCCTCTTTATCTTTGGAATTTTTTATCTTGGAATATGTTTTAATTGGTCTAGTCATTGTAAGCCTTTTTCCGTTCAGATCATTGACGTCATCGTCAGAAAATCCATGATCGTCGCTGCCATCTGTTGTGAATCCATTTTCCATTGAGTCTTTTGTGTTTGCTCTCTTAGGAGACTTCTTCGTTTGTATCTTCCCTGATGTTTTATTCCTACTTTTATTTTTACTCTTTGAGTCATTAAGTTTATTTTCTCCCATGCTAGCTTTTGAACCAACCTTTGGTTTAGTCCTTTTAGTTTTTCCACTATCATTTGTTTTTTGATTGGCCTGAGGTTCACCATCAGCAAGTGACTTTCTCTTTCGATTGTTGGTTTTTGAAGACTCATTTAGTTCTGAACATTTTTTCTGCTCCTCCCTCACAATATGTGGTTCCTCTTGTTGACTAAGCTCATTCGAAGCTGTTTCAGTCTCTGTTTTGCCTGTTTCTGTTTGTTTTGTTTCCATTTCTGGTTGTGAAGAAACTGTTTTCCCATTCTCACAAATTTCATCAACTGCATTATTTTTGCTGTTGCTTTTGTTTGTCCCATTGTCCAGGTTTTTTAGTTCTTCTGGGTTGCCATTTTCTGAAGCTTTTGAGCTGCCATTTTCTGAAGAATCTAATTTACCATTCGACATTTTATCATCAGATTTAAGATCTGATGAAAGTGTTTCTCCATCAATTTCAGAAGTCAACACTCCTCTCATGGTTGGTTCACCTATGAACGCAACCATCTCTTCCATTTTTGGAATAGGTCCCCCCCTTTTCGGTGATGAGTATGTGTGTTTTTTATCAGAATCTGAATTTGTCCTTGAAGGCGGATGGTACATCTTAGACATACTGGATAAATCAACCATTTCTTGTTTTTGCTTTGCTTGTGCCGGTGATCGATTCTGATTAAAGGATGGAGAGTTATTTTGAGGACTCCTCACCGTCAGGGGACTTGTGGAATTTGTGGTGCCGACTGGTGCAGGAGAATGCGATTGTATCGGGCTTGGGCAAGTCATAGAGGCTGGGGATCTTTTGGGAGCGCTGGGTGATTGTATTGGAGACGGACGTGCTAGGTGAGGAACCGGTGAGGTAGGAAACTGGAATTGGTTACGGTTACTGACTGGTGTACTACCAGGGCTGTACATCGTTGAACTTTGGCCCATACCGGGTGATGCTGTATTTGGAGGGATCTGCGGGTACTTGGGACCTATGCCAGATGCTGTAGGCAACATATTTGGCGAGCTGACTGGAGATCTACCTTGAGTAGGGTAACCTTGAGTTGTGCCATATCCCTGGTATGGACTTTGCGTGGTCATTGGCGTGTTAGGATAATACGCTCCCGAATGTTGGTTGTTATACGGTGCCTGGTAGGAATTTGACCTCTGATAACCCTGCTGCAGAGGGTAGTTAGAATTCGCTGTAGCGTACGGACTAGGGGCCATCCCCTGTGACTGTTGTGCATATTGCATATAGTTCCGTTGTACCTGGGTTGGCAAAGAGCCATAATTGTTGCTTGAGATCTGATTACTATAATAACTAAGTGGCTGACAATTTACAGGTTGCTGTTGCTGCTGCTGCTGCTGCTGTTGCTGTTGTTGGGAGAACTCATCCTCATTCAGAAGTGACAACATCGACTGAGTGCTGTCTAGGCCAACTTTAGCGGTTCCAAAGGCTGCTTGCTGCACTGTCTGTTGGAATTGATATTCCTGGTCTCCTTGACTAAACATTGTTAATAAATTCCATGAAGAGATCAAGAAGCTACAAAAACTTGAATTCTTTCCTTAGAAGAACACTGTAAGACAGAAAGAAAATAAACACTGTAAACATCAATATGAATAAACTTTCATGAAATTAAAAGTTAATAACAATGGCAATAAAAAAAAAACAACAATATTTTGGAAAAACTTTTTATATCGAATCATCTCAAAATACTTCACATTACTGCTCTGGCCATTGAAAACAGTAATCATAACACAGAATTTACTTTAACCTTTAACCTCTATTCCTTGGTCCATACATTCTTAGTCATACATGAATATTATTTTAACATACTATAGTCTAGTACCCTATTCAGACTACACTCAGTTGCGATCATAATCAATGGTAATCCAAAACTTATTACTCCTGATCGCAATCACTGAGCGCATTCAGACCGACACAAAAAAACTTTACATCGGAATGAGAGGTCAAATGGTTCTAGGCCTCCGGTGGCTAGACCTATGTTGACTAACCTCAGCCAATCACTGCTTTTGGAATTTGTTGTGAATTGTTGCGATTGGTTTCCGTGGTAATCAAGAGTAATAAAGATTGTAGTACCCAATCGCAAAGGGTAACAATTGCGATATGGATTACTGTTGGTGAACTTTCGCCAACGATAGTGAATTGCGAGTGGGTGTTGCAATTGCTACAACCGATCGCAATGCGATGTTAGTCTGAATAGGGGATAACATCCAAATTAAAACATAGAAAATTCTATCAGATTTCTCTATATAGTATAAATACTCCAGGGTTGAAATTTGATTAGTTTAATTAAAGTGACATGTAAATTCATTTTTGCATGCCTAATTACAAAATATCCCATCTGTCTTTTAAAAATTTTAAAGTCTAATTATTTTATATCAAAGTGAAAATCATGTAGATTAAAAAAATCATAGCACAATGAGGACTAATTAGATTATAATGAGTATTATAAACAGTAAAAGTATTAAAGTGCTGCATAATGACCAATTATTGAAATCAAATTAGTCACGAACAATTAACACTTCAGAAATTGTGGAAAAAATAACGATACTGACTTCCTAAATTGGTAAAATTATTATTCTAGACCATTATTTATCTGTACACTGTCATTTGCATTTATAAAGGTGTACATCTCTGATACTCTGTTGCTTAAAGTATGTCACTTTGACTTAGTACTTAATGTGTCCTATTGTATTTTTCAAACACTTGTACTCTAGAATTCCATAACTAAAGTATATAGGTTAATGTGGTGAAAAGGAAAGAATCTATTTTTATCACAGGTTTCACTCTGTGAGTTTTCACGTAGAGTATAGAACTACAAGAAGTCCGACTCTTGTGGTTTTGTTGGAACGTATTCCTATTTCAAAAAGTACTGCCACGAAGGGAAGTGTCCTTAAAAGACGAGTTCCGAGCGAACTCTATTCAAATTCTAATACGGAGCCCCTTAAAAGGCAAGTTTAATGGCCGAGCAACCATAGGACTAGTGTACACAATTAGCTCTTGTGCACTAGAAAGAACTCAGTACATCTTTTGAGATGAATAGGGGGTTACCCCGGTGTATTGGTCCATACATCCCATGTTGTCTTGTGATGGGATTGCCATTTTGAAGAGTGATTTACTGTTTGACATATTCTTGGCCCTAGTGCCTAAAGCTGAATAAATAAACTATCTTGTAGCAGTAAATTTTTTTTTCAAGTTCCACTGCCTGCAAACAAAATCAGGGCAGTTGGATCTCTTCTGTACTCTTTGTCTGTCATTTACTGTAGTAAAGTGTCTTCTCCTAGACACATGTCTTGACAACTTTTATGTTCAATTCTCTTGATGTTTAATTTTCATTGATATACAGTAAATCTAGTTTATGTCTCTATGTAAAATTAACATAACTTTATACAAATTTAATTAATACCGATTCTCGATATAACAAAAATAATTTAATTCAGCATTTTGCTGCAATATAAGTGATTCTGTAGTCTGAATTGTGTATTCACGTATCTAAGGTCAACTGACATAAACCTATGTTATGTGCATGTGGATGTGTGTTTGTTAATATCGAATGACCTTGATATGCGCATAAGCAGTTCAAACTACGGAATGGCTTGTATTTTTTATTTTTTTTTATGAACAAATAAAGACAGGCCTACGGATATGACGTGACCAGAATTGGACTTGATCTTTAAGCATTTGGTTGGAAGCACGAAGCCTTAGTATTTGCGCCATACTATTCCACTTAACCAGTTTTTATTACTCAGAAACAGGCTCCAAGACCTGTTAGCACGCACTAGTGCATTCTGTGTCACAGTTGCGATATTACAACATAGGACCAAGCCAACATACAGCACATTCTGGTTAATGTTAGTATGATGATTCATATAGATATTCATCAGGTGTTCCATATCTCAGACAAGTATAAGTATTAGTTTATAACCTAGTTGCATTATTTTACCTTTACTCTAGCTTAGACTAGGGGTCAAGCACTGGTTAATAATTTTCCAATACAGTATATCGCTTATTCCCAACATCTTTTAACGGCTAAATTATTTGAAACAAATCCCAAATTTAACAGAGTGCAGAAATTAAATTACTATCATACTCCTGATGAAGTACACTGTGTGGATGAAAGCTGAAGAAATAAATTCTATATATTGTTAGTTTTAAAAGTGGTGCTGTCATTTCTTTTATAATGTTCCATAGCAGACTAAACGCAGCTACACTTTTTATTCATCATATCTTATGAAAACATTTGAGATAAACATTTTTTTTTCACTTGCTAGGTAGTCAATCTTAAAGTTCTTATATCAATATTCATGAGTTTAATTCTTCCGGTGCATGTTTTGCATGGTTCAAATTATAGCCTGAGGTGGTGTGGAGGCTGTATGTCCAGACACAAAAGTCGAGAGACATACTACAGCCTCCAGATACCAAGAGCTAACTTGAACTATGACGCAATTAAAATCCCAGTAAATAATTGTTTTATACAGGTATATCCGACCGAGTACATCGATTCCAGGCAATTGACCAGCTAAGAGGGCATGGCTGGAACTATTGCCTGGCTTGTAACCAATCAACTGCCTGGAATCTATGTAGTCGATATAATACCGTATACAGCAGAACCTCGTTTTTACGTACCCCAGTTACACGAACCCTCGGTTTAACGATGACGTCATCAAAAACCCCGAAAATATTCAAAACTAACGGCCCTTTTCCAGAGCAACCATTTGTTGATTTAACCTAGGTTTTATTTATTAAGGTCATGTAGAATTTTTCAATTTTGAATTTACTTCAATATTCTTAAAGAAAATAAGCAGTAATTTCAGTACCTGCTATTATTAATATGTGCATGCCATTTATATAGAATGATTTCTAGAATACATACTTCAATCAGCATATTGACATACGTACTGTAATTATGAACAATTCAAAAACCTTGTTGCAGCTCAAAGCTTATACCGTACTACAGTAAGTGTGTACTGTACTAAATGGCTGCATGTCAATAGTATGCATTGTGCGTCTATGCGCACCAGTTGGATCTTAAACATTTGAACCAGCAGATATGAAAATACCAATTCGATCTTCTGAAATGTATTATTATCTTTAATTCTAATGTAATTCAATCACAAAATGATAGTAGAAGTGGAGTTGAATATCTTAGTGGTTAAGATGTTTGCCTTCCAAACCCAGGGTCCTAGGTTCAATTCCTGTCAGTGTTGCAGGATTTTTTCTCACGACCAAAACAACTCCACTCCCTAAATCTCATATTGAGATTTAGTTTGTGTAAAGCATCATATTGTATTTTATGTTTGTCTTGTGTAAGGGGATTGTCGCCTACAAGTAGGACAGTGATATATTCATTATTGACAATCCTTGGCACATGCATTGTGTGCCTAAATAAATAATAATTTAAAAAAAAAAAAAAAAACTATAACTATAAAAAAAAATAATCATAATTTTAACAAAAATTGGCATACTGTATCCATTAGTTCAAACAGTTTCATCTGGTTTTTTAATTTATGAGCATGGAAAAGTTCTTGTAAGTAAACCATCCATACTGTTTGACATTTTAATCCATCATTATCAATGGATCTTCATCAGACAATGACTGGATTGCTGGTTTGGTTTGTATAAATAACCATGTTACAAAGTTATAAACAGTGAGCTCTACAACAAAGCGAGAACCTGTTTAGACCTTGTTTAGCGAACCCCGTCGCCCGCCAAAAATGATGATTTCGAAATAAAAATAAAATTTTATTTTTGCCTAATTAGAGCACCCATCGGCATGAAAAAATAGAAATTTCAGAAAAAATAAAATCTTTTCTTTATTTTTATTACACCCACCGCTGCCTTGAAATCTAAAAAAATAAGAATTGCCTATTTCTTTTCTTAATTTTAATTATATAAATTAAAAAAATTTAACCATCCCATAATTACAATGTTTATTTTCACCAATGAAATTTTATTTTTATTTTTCTCATCCGTCTGCATATTTTTGGCAAAACTATAAATAAGAAAAACAAAATTTTATTTTTTTCCTGCCCTTCTGTGACTATCTTTAAAAAAATAAGTCAGCGAAACAAGGTATAAAATAAGTCGAGCCTAATAAAAATACCAAGCATTTTAAATGATTACAGTGTAAACTACTATATTCATTAAAATATCCATTTGGCTGCATACTCCGCTGTCTTATAAATTGAGAAGTATACTGTACAACTGAAATTCAAAGGTTAAGTAAAGAATGACCTTCGTGAACTTCTATGCAAACATAGAGTGGGATGAGTAATACATCGTCATTCTGTGATGGAGTAGCGAGAGTATGCAATACTTATGATTAATGTCTAAAACGTTGATGGAGTGAGCATGTCATGACTATGATTAATAATACGTAGTATATTTTACTGTCATTGTCAAATAGCAGCACAAAGCTTATCGAGTGCTACGCTACAAGAGGAATACATATTATTTATAGAAAAATTACTGCTACAATACATAACACCTGTGTACTCTGCCTATTGCTACAAAAAATCTATAATTTAACCATTCCTTATTAAAGTTTTGTCA